TCTGGCCGAATCCAGCTTTCCGACCTAAAGTGTTGTCTGACCGCTTTGTGAACCAGCCCATTCAGCTTGCGGCATTTAATCAAGAGGCTTCCCAGACAGCTGTGTGTCCAGTGAGAGTATTGCGACAGTATGTGTTGAAGACTGCTTCATGGCGCACCACTGATCAGCTGTTTGTCCGTTTTGATGCCTGTCAGAGGGGCTCACCCTTGTCGAAGCAAAGGTTGTCTCATTGGGTGGTGGATACCATTATACAGGCATATGATTCGGCTGGTCAGACAGTTCCAGCATCTATTAAATGCCATTCAACCCGATCAGTGGCTACTTCTTGGGCAGCACTACGGGGAGTGCCCCTTTCTGATATATGTGCAGCGGCTACATGGTCGTCACCTTGCACGTTCACAAGATTCTACAGGATTAATGTGGCACCTATTCCTTTGGTCAGTTCTGCTGTGTTAGCGGACAGTATCTAGGTGAGCGGCCCTCGTGACTTGGTTGTATTCGTCTTCCACTATGTTCGACCGTCTCTGGCGGTCTGTAACAGTGAAATAGAACGCCGGTTACTGGTGTAACCTTGGTTCTATGAATAGTGGAAGACCGCCAGAGTCTCTGGTCACTCGGACTGAGAATGACTGCAGAGAACGACCGTGACGTGAACGGAGCGGATATAGCTGCTGACACGTCATCGGTCAGGGTCACAGGTGACAAATCAATGCGAGATTCTCGATATGGCTCGCGAGACGCGACTCCTTCCACTATGTTCGACCGTCTCTGGCGGTCTTCCACTATTCATAGAACCAAGGTTACACCAGTAACCGGCGTTATTCTGAAAAGGCAGTTAAGACCGTCATTGAATCTTTAACTAAAGGTTTTCTGTCTTCTTGCTTGCATTGAAAAAAAGAGCATTCAATTATTACTGTATGAGTTTGATAATATTTCCATGTTAATTTGGATGTCTTATGTTTATTCTTCTGGTTACGGGTGAAGAGTTTAGGATTCTTTCATATTAATACACAAAACTAAGCATTTTGTATCTTTTTATACATGCTCTTTCATTAATGATTTACATGATTATTTATGTAGGCCCACTCTTTCAGAAATGTCTGAATCTGCAGCGAGTCAGTGTGTGGATCAGTTCAGCTGTCCAGTCTGTTTGGATCCTCTGAAGGAGCCGGTGACGATTCCCAAACTGGAAGAGTGTGGATCCTTATATTAAGCAGAGGCTCGTGTAGCAGCAGGGACATAGGTTTCGTTTCCATAGAATCCACAAACTTCCTGGTTTTCAGTGTTCATGTTCAGATGTGTGAATGAGAGAGAGAGAGAGAGAGAGAGAGTTCACAACTTTATTTAATCATAAGAGCAACTTCACATTATAGATTTGAAATTATAATCACTTTGTTTAAACTTTAAATTTTTGTTTTTCACATAACAATTTCTTCCACACCCACTTATTTTTATATGTTGTGGACATTTTTGATTTTCATTTATTTTCAGTCGACATTACAAAGGAATGTCATATGGTTTTATCATTTGCAGTCTGATGTGAGGAGGAACTTCTCTGAAATGTATGTATAGCCCCTTTCATACAGCGCTTTGAACCCGGCAAATTGCCGGCAAATTGCCAGAGTGCCTTCTGTGTGAACGCAAACACGACCTGGGATTGATGCTGGGATCGATGCCGGGTTGGGGACCTAGTAACATTGCCGTGTTAAGACCCGGAACGTGCGCTGTGTGAACAAAAGCCAGAACCAATGCCGTATAAGGGGTGTGTCGTAGTGATGATTCACGAGCCTTTGCAATGGCGTAGTTATCGTGCGACTCAGTTACTCTAGAAGAAAGTTTGTGTTCGTCATCGATACAAGACAGAACGAAAAAATGTCTGCAAACTGGACTGAAGTAGAGACCCGTCACATCCAAGTCACGCGTCTTTCCGGAACATATACGGGTTGTGTGTGAACGCGCTCTCTGATTCCGGCAAATCACTGGCAGTGTGAGTGAAGCAAAATCAAACGAACCCGGGTCAAATCCCGGGTCACTTTATCCGTGTATTTTCCGGAATCTCTGTGTGAAAGGGGCTTATGTTTATACACCTGAAGTGCGAGACACTCTAGAACCAGATGGGCAAGGACCTCTGACCTCTGAGGTCAGGAGGTCATCTAGTTGAGGGGGGCTTAAAGGGTTAGTTAGTGATAAATCAAAGCTAGCAGTAAAGGGCATTTTGTCTGTGAAAAACTACTGGGAAGCTCTGCAGGGGAAAGGACCTTGAAAGAGCAGTATAAAGATTGCTCAATTCTTCCTGTCTGTGTCTCACTCACTCCACAGGGTAACTGCTGTGTTGGCGACTGGGCCTATTCTTGCAAGAATAAATACTTCTCTTTTAATTATTCCGTGTCTCTTACGCAGTGATGATGTTTAACAGAATTTTTGCCACAACAAATACCAGTAGTTAATAGCCTACACCACCTGTCAATTTGATTGATTGACAGGTGGGGGTGGCTATCCTTTGATCTTCCCCCGCCCCTTCCGGTTCCTCCCCTTCCTGTCCCGCCTCTTGTCCCGCCCCTTCCGGTTCCTCCCCTTCCTGTTACCTTTGACCTAGTTCCGCCCCTTCCTGTTAAACTTTCTGTCAAAATGATGGATGAAGACCTTTATCTAGTTCCACCCCTTCCTGTTAAACTTTCTGTCAAAAATGATGGATTGTTTGAAGTTTGTTTGATCTAGTTCCGCCCCCTTCCTGTTAAACTTTCTGTCAAAAATGATGGATTGTTTGAAGTTAGTTTGAACAAGAAAAAGGGGTGTATAGGATGTGTGACAGATAGTTTGATCGTTTGAACAAGAAAAAGGGTGTATAGGATGTGTGACAGATAGTTTGAGATGTATTGGCTTTGATGTGACAGTTTGTCTAATCGTTTGGAGTTTGTTGTTACAGTTACAAAGCGATGGATTGTTATTATTTAGCGCATCCCCTCGCTATGCCTAAGCTTATCATAGCAGGTGTGTGTGAAAGTGATAAGAAAAAACTGTTATAGCTTATCTGACACAAAGTTAAAAAATAAATGTATTCAGTGAAGCATTTCCGATTAAAAAAATGGAGACATTAAAATTGTAAACAGTTAAAATGTATTACAGTTGAATAATATGAAACATACAGTTTATGTAAAACCTCACACAAAAAGTTGATCTCCCTCTACCTCAAAACATAGGGAGCGCGCGTCTGTGTATTTCCCCCTCCCTCCCACTCTCACTCCCACTCCCACATTGCTTGGGACGCTAGAATTTTATCTGACTAAAGTTGAAAAAGCATTGTGTTAATTTTAAATTATATAAAATATATAAAATAAAATATATAATACAAAATAAATGTCTTACTGAACCAATTATTTCAAAATAAATAAATAAATACATCTTGCAATAATATGTTTTACAGAGTTGGAAGAAAAAAATCACACAGGTAGTGCCTGCCAGCATGGACAGGGTGCGTGACAAATAAGTGATATCATCGCTGTTTTCGTGTAATAAATTACTTTTAATTCATAAGACTTATTTTCAGGAGTGACAGTTATCAGTGAAATATGGCGCTCGTGTAATCAAAAGGTCTGCCTAGCCCCTGGGAATGTGAATTGGCCTTGAACCTAAACACTTCCATTCATAGAGTTCTGAAAGAATATAGTGGACACCCAGCTCCGCCGTTTTCCCATAGTTTTACTGTAAAAGGCGATAAAATAGCCAAGACACATGGATGTGTGCCATACCCCATGTCTGGACCAAAAACTTTTGCACCTTTGACCACCTCATCAAAAATGCAAAACAGTGAGTATTTTCTCTATAATTAATTTATGCTACGCTGTTTTAAACAATGCTATTGCTGTTTATCTGTATTATGCAATGATGTTTAATTTGAAAAATTGTTTATACATAAGGAAAAGACGGTATAATTCATTAGTGTTTTAAATAGCCTAGGCTATGTATTTGTTTTATCCGCATTATGCTATTGGTATTTTTATCTGCTGTAACTGGGGATACAGATATTTTTATCTACTATATTAATTTATCATAAAGTATGATTTTAAAAATGTACAACATTGTTTATGTTCATTATGCTATGGTTTTTAAAACCATATCACAAAAGTATCAGTTTAATATGACTGTTTTACAGCAATGTTTATTTTGCATTATGCTATGTTGTTTTAACTGTTGTATTTTTTATCTGATGTAACTAAAATCTGCAACATCGTGTATTTAAGCGGTGGGATTTCCATAAAGGACCTTAAAATAAATGTTTTGGATTTTATTCAGTTTTAAATCTTATTTAGATTATTTTAGTCAGACATGCTTATATGTGCATAGGCCTATTTTATTCCTCTTCAGTTACTTACTTTTTAAATTTTGGTAGGCTACTTTTTAATTCTTCTTTTACTCTGTCTTTGATTTTAACTTTTAGCAATTTGCATGATAAATTGTTTAACATGTAAGCTATATGAATGACACTGTCACAATGTGATAAGCAAAACATATAAAAGTCAAGTCAAAGCTATTTATATAGGCTAGTGCTTTTCATTGGCATTTAAAATAACATGGTCTTTCCTTCTCTCTCTCTCACAGCAAACACTGCAGGACAATCAGGCATCCAAGTAACATGTTAGTATGGTTTATATTTTATTTTTAATGAGAAAACTACATTACCCATGAGCCATGATGCTGTATTGAAAATTATGTCGAACATAGTTTAAAAAAAAAGCAACACACTCCAAAATAGCTCTGCCCACTCCATGAAGCACTGCGAATGACATAATCTCCCTACCCTCTCAAAATACTCAAATGTTTGTATAAGCTATATGTGCATATTTTGCATATTTATATATAAATATATATATTTTTAAATCACTGTGAGAAATTAGAATGAAAAAGGGGGGAGGCACTGTTGCACTATGTATAATAAACAATTGACAGATGAACTGACAGATATTTTATGTAAACAGGCAAAATCTCTGCATCTGATGATGGCCGTGTGTTTTCGCCGATCATAACTGGTTTAACTCTTGGCTCCTTTGAGATCAATATGACTTCTGCCAAATCAAATGTGCCGGCAAATTGTAAGTGTAATACACGAGAAACTATTAAAACAGTTTTCGCCTATGTAATGTATAAAATGAATCTTAATTAAGCCGTCGTAGTTAACAATTGGGACCAATTTTAAGGAAGGTTACATTCTGGTCTAACATTGTCATGTGCAAATTTGCAATACAAATTTTTTTTACTGTTTTTGCTACTTTTGGTTCGAGTTTTGTAGAATAAGCCAAGATTCATTTATTTTATGTGGTGTCATGCTCCTGGATTATTCAGACTCAGAATTGTAACTATTACTATAGCCTTTATCAGCCATTTATTTTACTGCAGACTTATCAAACTTATTTATTTACTGCAGATTTTATCAAAGGCACGAATTAACTCAATTCATGGCAGCAATAAAAAAAGAAGAAAAAAATGAACAATTGACAGATGAACTGACATATATTTTATGTAAACAGGCAAAATCTCTGCATCTGATGATGGCCATGTGTTTTCGCCGATCATAACTGATTCAAGCTCCTTTGAGATCAATATGACTTCTGCCAAATCAAATGTGCCGGCAAATTGTAAGTGTAATACACGAGAAACTATTAAAACAGTTTTTGCCTATGTAATGTATAAAATGAATCTTAATTAAGCAGTCGTAGTTAACAATTGGGACCAATTTTAAGGAAGGTTACATTCTGGTCTAACATTGTCATGTGCAAATTTGCAATACAAATTTGTTTGAATGTTTTTGCTACTTTTGGTTCGAGTTTTGTAGAATAAGCCAAGATTCATTTATTTTATGTGGTGTCATGCTCGTGGATTATTCAGACTCAGAATTGTAACTATTACTATAGCCTTTATTAGCCATTTATTTTACTGCAGACTTATCAAACTTATTTATTTACTGGAGATTTTATCAAAGCCAAATACTGCCCAAAAGGGGATACTGGGAAAGAAGAGAAACAGGTTAATACAAGGTTAGATTCAATCTTTATATTCTTTCCCGTTTTGCCTTCATTTTCCATTTCCTGTTACTGTTTTAATTTTTATATTCTCAGATCATCAAAGGTTTCTGAAAGCAAACACCAGTCAGTTGGTTAAAAAAAGTGAAGAACATTAATCCAATAATTGACCATCTTGATTGCTCAATGAATCCGAAAATGTGCGAGTGAATCCAACACACCAGTTGAAGATGAGGGAACTGCTGGACTGTGTGAATTGTGAAAGCATTGCCAACGACCTGGTCAACGCTTTGTTCAAGCATGAAGAATCTTTCATGAAGAAACTGTAATAACAACTGTTGTAGCCTATTGTTTGGCATTATGTACTTAAACAGTTTTTTAAAAAAGAAATGTTTTTAATAATTGATTGGTGATGGAGTTTTAATTTTTGTATTGAGAACCAAGTATATTGTACAAGTAAGAAGATACCAAACTGGCCATATAATGATATATTGCACATAATAAACAATGGCAAAGTTTGTATTCCTTAAAAAACAGACAATGTTTGAGAACCCTAATATTGGTGTAATCTTTGCTCGGTCTCACCCTCACGCTGATCCAGGCATAGCTTTTTACTAAAAGAAAATATTATGGAAGTCATAATCAAACCGTAATTATATTTTATTTATTAATTATAGGGCTTCGTGCTGATTTAAAGTTTTTGTTATTAACTAATACCTTTATTTTTTTTTTTACATCCAGCACAATTTTTTTTACAAAAATTGTTCTCTAACCCCAAATAAACAGATAATGGAATGTTCACAAGCTACAGTTAGATATTATTCCCCTTAGTATGTGTGTAAATAGTTGTGCTTAAATGTTTGGATGTATTTTTACACGCCAACATATTTTGGTCACACCGTAGTGATGCAAAGTTCCACACTCTTGTAAAGACTATGGTCTAACTTTAAAACATAATTTTTATACATGAATTCAAAAAGACCAAATCACTAAGAAAAGCACCGTTTATAATAATAATAAATATACAAAAGTTCACAAATGATGGTTTTATTACTATTCAGATAGCAGACGACACTGGTTCACATTTTGAATGTGTGTCTGTTTTAGGTGAAGACTTTTCTTTGAGAGCCGTCAACATTCATTGTTTATAGGAATAAATGACCATTAATAATTTAAGTGTTTGTACTCTGAAGTATTTCTGTTTGAGAATGTTTGACTAAATTGCAACTTTCCCTCCATCTACGATGTGGAATCACACAAAGTATTAACGCAAAAAAAAGTACGTGCATGCTGTTTTACACGTAAACTATTACAACAGAATCACATATGACTATTGTACTGAGAGAGGCGTATTCATTAAGACTGTTAAACAAAGTTCGGTGTTTAAAATTAAAATTGCACTAAAGTAAATGCTAGTGATCAACTTGCTAAAAAGTAAATACAACATGAGCCATACAGAAAAGCCACTTGTGATCAGTTTTGTATGTTTGTAATTGACATGTTTCTTTTTGTACAGTTTGCAAAAACTATAGTCTCCGAGCGTGGTCAAACATATAGGAATTTATGAAAAACATGAACAGATATTTCTACATGAGATATTTATTTTAGAACATCTTTCAGCTATGTCTACGAAACATCGACATGAAAGATGAGTATTGCTGTTTTTCTGTTACCTATAAAACTATTATACTTCAAACTTCGTCTAGCTATTGCCCATTTCACAGCACAGTCATAGATACATCGTTATGTTGTGTATGTCGCTAAACAACGGTTAAGCTAATGAATTACCGTTGAAAGGCGGGATGATTCATTTTTTATTCCGTCTACACCGATACTTTGACACTAGAGTTTTAGTCAGGAGTCTTTTAGACCTGATCCAGAAAACAGGCATTGTGTTTTATGTCTTAATAATCGTTCTTCTTTTTATGAAAAGTTAGCAGTTTTGTGGCCTCGTCATCAAAAATGTTTTAACATATTGTAAATATCAATTGTTATATAAATTATATGTGAAACACGCTCAGTCCCATTAGAGTCGGATTCTTGTTTATATTGAACATTGTTATTGAACCGCTAGTGTTCTTAAATTGTTTACCACGGTTTAATTTTTAACAACACTATCGTAACACTTTTCGTATTTTGTACGATGTTTTCTTTACACCCATGGATATCCGTTTCCTACGGTTAGCTGTAATGTTAGTGAACTCTAGGCCTTCTCTTTTTTCATATACGACAGTATTTGCATGAATTGGCTTGATTTAATAAAATGATGGTTTAAACCACAGTGTAATTTTATACCATCCTAGTTTTTAAATATCTCTTAAATTTTATATTTTAACCGTTTATGCGAATGCGAATATTTTCGGCCTACATTAACGACGTGGCCCTGGCCGCAGGTGACTGTTCGATACATCTATATGCAGATGACACTATTCTCTACACCCACGGCCCATCTATGAATATCGTGTTAGACAACCTCCAAGTGAGCTTCAGTAGCATTCAACACTCATTTCGTGGTCTTCAATTAAATTTAAATTCCAGTAAAACCAAATGTATGATCTTTAACCGATCTCTCTCTTTACCTTCTTATACAACAAAAATTTCCACCCTGGATGGTTTTGCATTGGAAATCGTTGACACTTATAAATACCTAGGTATCTGGTTAGTTTCTTCACTCTCCTTCCATACCCATATTAGCAAACTCCAATCTAAAATAAAATCTAGGATTGGTTTTCTTTTTCGTAACAGGGCCTCTTTCACTATCCCCGCTAAACATGCTCTCGTGAATATGACTATCCTACCTATCTTAGACTTTGGCGATGTGGTATACAAATCTGCCTCTAACACTCTTCTTGGAAGGCTAGATGTATTATATCACAGTGCTATACGTTTTGCTACCAATGCCCCATTTAGTACTCACCATTGTAACCTCTATACACTCATTGGTTGGCCTTCCCTTCACATCCGACGACAAAGACACTGGTTTTATTTTATTTATAAAATTATTTTAGGCAAAGGTCCTACCTACTTGAGAAACCTCATTTCGGTAGCTTCTCCCTCTCGTAACCTGCGATCAAACAGGTTTATTTCATTAACTACTACCAATGTCCGCACTTCCTTTGGCCGTCTTTCTTTTCAATTTTCTTCTGCTAATGACTGGAATGATCTCCAAAAATCCCTAAGGCTTGAAACTCTTGTACCAGTATCTGGTTTCAAACGATTGATATCTAACCTATTGACACACCACTGCTTATGTTAGCATTACCATTTTCTCCTCTGTGCAAATTAGTCCAATTACTTATTTGTCTTTTTCTTCCTGCATTGTTATTCGTCAATGCAGGAACGATTACTGCACTTTACTTTTCACATAGTTCAATTATTTATAATGTTTTTATTATTGTCCCACTAGGGAAACTGTCTGGCTATTGTACTCCGACTTACCTTTGTACGATGCTCCATTTGACTGAACATCTGTTTGTAACCTGCATTACATTGTTTACATTTGTCTTTATGTGTAACTTTATGTGTCTGCACCTTGACGCTTTATCTTGGCCAGGTCGCCATTTTTAATGAGAATGAGTCCTCTATGTGCTAACCTGGTTAAATAAAGATTAAATAAAATAAAATAAAAATAAATAAATTAATATAGAATACTGCACAAGGATCTCTGAAATATTTTTTTCATGTAAAACATCTATGTAGCTCATAGATCTATCTATGTTTTTAAAAATACAAATACATCTTTCTCTAAGTGACCCTCAAAATCTGGGGATAGCTTCCGTGTAGCTATGATGATTGATCAGAAAATTACTTTTGTCGCTTTGTTTGAAGAAACACTTTAATCAGCTGGTGCTTGATAATTATTAAACAACCCTCAATTCGGTAATGTCGTGTTTTACGCGATATTGATATCGCGTTTTAATTTAAACTCAATGCGTTAAAGTTCTATAACTGAACTTAATATTTGGTAAAGCCTTACTTTCTAAATGCTTTTTACAGAACTTGTTGCAAACAATTCATACCCGTCTTTAACCTCTTAATCTTTAATGAAAATATCATTACTGGATTAAGAGAAATTATTTGTCTCTGTCAGGAAAACAATGTTTCCTACATTTAGTCGTGATGCTAGCAAGCTCTTGGTTTTCTCGGCATCTCTTTCGGCATACAACACTTGATATGCATTCATTTAAATAGTATATTATCCTAGTTTATTACTATAATTATATTTTGGGGCGGTAAGTGGACATCGATCTGGCGGCATATGCATAACTTCTCCATGACTTTACTTATGATTCAATGAGGCTTTAATCCTACGTAGCGGTTTACGGCGTCATGACGATAACACCCCTATACAACTCCTCCTACGGGGCGGGCTGAGCACTATCAGTTGTCCTGATAAACTCTACACAGAGCCCAGCCTCTTTTTTCGCACACAACCCCTGGGTCTAGCTCTAATAGTCGCGGACTGCTGTGCTACTGAAACATTGATCAAAAGTCGAAGGAATATTGTCTGGTTGTTACACGGACTGTCAAAGGCCGCTTCAACCTTCTTGTTTGTCAGACGCAAAGTACACTTTTTCGACTCACACTTCTAAACCAAAAACTTCGTTAACGCACAAAGTCTATACGATTGTGCTGTAAGGACTTCCAGGAGATTCCAGGAACTAACAGAATCTTTCACCATCGAATAGGGGACCGACAAATCTGAAAACTTCAGAAATGGCGACGCAAAAGCTGATGGAGAGTGACTCCCCGTTGAGTTCTGGCGTAGCGGGGACACTGCGCCATCCGGCGTGTGAGTGCGCCACAGGGAAAGAGTGTCGTTTAAGAGCTACACTAGACTCTATGTTTAAAGATCATTTTAGAGGCCCGATGGTTAGCTTGATGCACAGGATTATCGAGGCTGCGTTTGATGAGAATAACGATTGTGCGAGGGATACCAAACGTGTGAAAAATCTCAAAAAAGAAATGGATGTCATAAGAGGCTTGGTTGGATCCTGGACAGATGTTACGCCCATGTTTTTAAACGGCAAAGAACCGATCGGCGTAATCCTCAGAAAAGTTCTGGATGTGATGCTTGAATCTCGTGAGGAATTCGAAGTTGACGAACTACTCTGTATGTGTACGTTTGTAACAGATCTCTGTGTGTCACT